TAGCCAAACACTAATATTTGGACAAGTATAATTGCACAAGGGTCCATTCATGAATACACAGGTGAGACCGTTTGTTTATTCCTCATGGAACATAGTAAGAAGTCTGGCATGTATTATTTATAGTTTGTAGTTGGAAAAGTACAGTGGAAAACTATTCCAATCTGAAAATTTCATTAAAACCTGAAATAGTTCATTGAAATTTATGCTTATTTTGGTTAGATACCTATTGCTTAAATTGGCTTAACTATATACTGGTATGGCAAATATCTGAATTTTAGCTCACCTGGCTGAAAGTCAAGTTAGTTTATGTCATGGCATGTTGTCTGTCATCTGTACATGTGGTTGTTCATTCATCAGTCTGGTTGTCTGTCCATCAATCCAGTTGTCTGTCATCTGTCGCCTGGTTGTTCATTCATCAGTCTGGTTGTCTGTCCATCCATCCATCCAGTTGTCTGTCATCTGTACATCTGGTTGTTCATTCATTACTCCGGTTGTCTGTCCATCCTTCCATTCAGTTGTCTGTCATCTGTACATGTGGTTGTTCATTCATCAGTCTGGTTGTCTGTCCATCTGTCCATCCAGTTGTCTGTCATCTGTACATCTGGTTGTTCATTCATCAGTCTGGTTGTCTGTCCATCAATCCAGTTGTCTGTCATCTGTCGCCTGGTTGTTCATTCATCAGTCTGGTTGTCTGTCCATCCATCCATCCAGTTGTCTGTCATCTGTACATCTGGTTGTTCATTCATTACTCCGGTTGTCTGTCCATCCTTCCATTCAGTTGTCTGTCATCTGTACATGTGGTTGTTCATTCATCAGTCTGGTTGTCTGTCCATCCTTCCATCCAGTTGTCTGTCATCTGTACATGTGGTTGTTCATTCATCACTCCGGTTGTCTGTCCATCCTTCCATTCAGTTGTCTGTCATCTGTACATGTGGTTGTTCGTTCATCAGACTGGTTGTCTGTCCATCCTTCCATCCAGTTGTCTGTCATCTGTACATCTGGTTGTTCTTTCATCAGTCTGGTTGTCTGTCCATCTGTCCATCCACTTGTCTGTCATCTGTATATGTGGTTGTTCATTCATCAGTCTGGTTGTCTGTCCATCCATTCAGTTGTCTGTCACCTGTACATGTGGTTGTTCATTCATCAGTCTGGTTGTCTGTCCATCCATTCAGTTGTCTGTCACCTGTACATCTGGTTGTTCGTTCATCAGACTGGTTGTCTGTCCATCCTTCCTTCCAGTTGTCTGTCATCTGTACATGTGGTTGTTCATTCATCACTCCGGTTGTCTGTCCATCCTTCCATTCAGTTGTCTGTCATCTGTACATCTGGTTGTTCGTTCATCAGACTGGTTGTCTGTCCATCCTTCCATCCAGTTGTCTGTCATCTGTACATGTGGTTGTTCATTCATCACTCCGGTTGTCTGTCCATCCTTCCATTCAGTTGTCTGTCATCTGTACATCTGGTTGTTCGTTCATCAGACTGGTTGTCTGTCCATCCTTCCATCCAGTTGTCTGTCATCTGTACATCTGGTTGTTCTTTCATCAGTTTGGTTGTCTGTCCATCTGTCCATCCACTTGTCTGTCATCTGTACATGTGGTTGTTCATTCATCAGTCTGGTTGTCTGTCCATCCATTCAGTTGTCTGTCACCTGTACATGTGGTTGTTCATTCATCAGTCTGGTTGTCTGTCCATCCATTCAGTTGTCTGTCACCTGTACATCTGGTTGTTCGTTCATCAGTCTGGTTGTCTGTCCATCCATTCAGTTGTCTGTCATCTGTACATCTGGTTGTTCGTTCATCAGACTGGTTGTCTGTCCATCCTTCCTTCCAGTTGTCTGTCATCTGTACATCTGGTTGTTCATTCATCAGTCTGGTTGTCTGTCCATCCATCCATCCAGTTGTCTGTCACCTGTACATCTGGTTGTTCATTCATCAGTCTGGTTGTCTGTCCATCCATTCAGTTGTCTGTCACCTGTACATCTGGTTGTTTGTTCATCAGTCTGGTTGTCTGTCCATCATCCAGTTGTCTGTCATCTGTACATGTGGTTGTTTATTCATCAGTCTGGTTGTCTGTCCATCCTTCCATCCAGTTCTCTGTCATCTGTACATCTGGTTGTTCATTCATCAGTCTGGTTGTCTGTCCTTCCATTCAGTTGTCTGTCATCTGTACATCTGGTTGTTCATTCATCAGTCGGGTTGTCTGTCCATCTGTCCATCCACTTGTCTGTCATCTGTACATCTGGTTGTTCATTCATCAGTCTGGTTGTCTGTCCATCCATCCAGTTGTCTGTCATCTGTACATCTTGTTGTTCATTCATCAGTCTGGTTGTCTGTCCATCCTTCCATCCAGATGTCTGTCATCTGTACATCTGGTTGTTCGTTCATCAGTCCGGTTGTCTGTCCATCCTTCCATCCAGTTGTCTGTCATCTGTACATCTGGTTGTTCATTCATCAGTCCGGTTGTCTGTCCATCCTTCCATTTGTCTGTCATCTGTACATCTGGTTGTTCATTCATCACTCCGGTTGTCTGTCCATCCTTCCACCCAGATGTCTGTCATCTGTACATCTGGTTGTTCGTTCATCAGTCCGGTTGTCTGTCCATCCTTCCATCCAGTTGTCTGTCATCTGTACATCTGGTTGTTCATTCATCACTCCGGTTGTCTGTCCATCCTTCAAGTTGTCTGTCACCTGTTCATCTGGTTGTTTGTTCATCAGTCTGGTTGTCTGTCCATCCTTCCATTCAGTTGTCTGTCACCTGTACATCTGGTTGTTCGTTCATCACTCCGGTTGTCTGTCCATCCTTCCATTCAGTTGTCTGTCATCTGTACATCTGGTTGTTCGTTCATCAGACTGGTTGTCTGTCCATCCTTCCATCCAGTTGTCTGTCATCTGTACATCTGGTTGTTCTTTCATCAGTTTGGTTGTCTGTCCATCTGTCCATCCACTTGTCTGTCATCTGTACATGTGGTTGTTCATTCATCAGTCTGGTTGTCTGTCCATCCATTCAGTTGTCTGTCACCTGTACATGTGGTTGTTCATTCATCAGTCTGGTTGTCTGTCCATCCATTCAGTTGTCTGTCATCTGTACATCTGGTTGTTCGTTCATCAGACTGGTTGTCTGTCCATCCTTCCTTCCAGTTGTCTGTCATCTGTACATCTGGTTGTTCATTCATCAGTCTGGTTGTCTGTCCATCCATCCATCCAGTTGTCTGTCACCTGTACATCTGGTTGTTCATTCATCAGTCTGGTTGTCTGTCCATCCATTCAGTTGTCTGTCACCTGTACATCTGGTTGTTTGTTCATCAGTCTGGTTGTCTGTCCATCCATTCAGTTGTCTGTCACCTGTACATCTGGTTGTTCATTCATCAGTCTGGTTGTCTGTCCATCATCCAGTTGTCTGTCATCTGTACATGTGGTTGTTTATTCATCAGTCTGGTTGTCTGTCCATCCTTCCATCCAGTTCTCTGTCATCTGTACATCTGGTTGTTCATTCATCAGTCTGGTTGTCTGTCCTTCCATTCAGTTGTCTGTCATCTGTACATCTGGTTGTTCATTCATCAGTCGGGTTGTCTGTCCATCTGTCCATCCACTTGTCTGTCATCTGTACATCTGGTTGTTCATTCATCAGTCTGGTTGTCTGTCCATCCATCCAGTTGTCTGTCATCTGTACATCTTGTTGTTCATTCATCAGTCTGGTTGTCTGTCCATCCTTCCATCCAGATGTCTGTCATCTGTACATCTGGTTGTTCGTTCATCAGTCCGGTTGTCTGTCCATCCTTCCATCCAGTTGTCTGTCATCTGTACATCTGGTTGTTCATTCATCAGTCCGGTTGTCTGTCCATCCTTCCATTTGTCTGTCATCTGTACATCTTGTTGTTCATTCATCACTCCGGTTGTCTGTCCATCCTTCCACCCAGATGTCTGTCATCTGTACATCTGGTTGTTCGTTCATCAGTCCGGTTGTCTGTCCATCCTTCCATCCAGTTGTCTGTCATCTGTACATCTGCTTGTTCATTCATCACTCCGGTTGTCTGTCCATCCTTCAAGTTGTCTGTCACCTGTTCATCTGGTTGTTTGTTCATCAGTCTGGTTGTCTGTCCATCCTTCCATTCAGTTGTCTGTCACCTGTACATCTGGTTGTTCGTTCATCAGTCTGGTTGTCTGTCCATCCTTCCATCCAGTTGTCTGTCATCTGTACATGTGGTTGTTCGTTCATCAGTCTTGTTGTCTGTCCTTCCATCCAGTTGTCTGTCACCTGTACATCTGGTTGTTCATTCATCAGTCTGGTTGTCTGTCCATCCTTCCATTCAGTTGTCTGTCATCTGTACATGTGGTTGTTCATTCATCAGTCAGGTTGTCTGTCCATCCATCCAGTTGTCTGTCACCTGTACATCTGGTTGTTCATTCATCAGTCCGGTTGTCTGTCCATCTTTCCATCCAGTTGTCTGTCATCTGAACATGTGGTTGTTCATTCATCAGTCTGGTTGTCTGTCCATCTGTCCATCCAGTTGTCTGTCATCTGTACATCTGGTTGTTCATTCATCAGTCTGGTTGTCTGTCCATCAATCCAGTTGTCTGTCATCTGTCGCCTGGTTGTTCATTCATCAGTCTGGTTGTCTGTCCTTCCATCCAGTTGTCTGTCATCTGTACATGTGGTTGTTCATTCATCAGTCTGGTTGTCTGTCCATCCATCCATCCAGTTGTCTGTCATCTGTACATCTGGTTGTTCTTTCATCAGTCTGGTTGTCTGTCCATCCTTCCATCCAGTTGTCTGTCATCTGTCGCCTGGTTGTTCATTCATCAGTCTGGTTGTCTGTCCATCCTTCCATTCAGTTGTCTGTCATCTGTACATCTGGTTGTTCGTTCATCAGTCCGGTTGTCTGTCCATCCTTCCTTCCAGTTGTCTGTCATCTGTACATGTGGTTGTTCATTCATCAGTCTGGTTGTCTGTCCATCCTTCCATCCAGTTGTCTGTCATCTGTACATGTGGTTGTTCATTCATCACTCCGGTTGTCTGTCCATCCTTCCATTCAGTTGTCTGTCATCTGTACATCTGGTTGTTCGTTCATCAGACTGGTTGTCTGTCCATCCTTCCATCCAGTTGTCTGTCATCTGTACATCTGGTTGTTCGTTCATCAGTCTGGTTGTCTGTCCTTCCATCCAGTTGTCTGTCATCTGTACATCTGGTTGTTCATTCATCAGTCTGGTTGTCTGTCCTTCCATCCAGTTGTCTGTCATCTGTACATGTGGTTGTTCATTCATCAGTCAGGTTGTCTGTCCATCATCCAGTTGTCTGTCACCTGTACATCTGGTTGTTCATTCATCAGTCGGGTTGTCTGTCCATCCTTCCATCCAGTTGTCTGTCATCTGTACATGTGGTTGTTCTTTCATCAGTCTGGTTGTCTGTCCTTCCATCCAGTTGTCTGTCATCTGTACATCTGGTTGTTCTTTCATCAGTCTGGTTGTCTGTCCTTCCATCCAGTTGTCTGTCATCTGTACATGTGGTTGTTCATTCATCAGTCAGGTTGTCTGTCCATCATCCAGTTGTCTGTCACCTGTACATCTGGTTGTTCATTCATCAGTCTGGTTGTCTGTCCATCCTTCCATCCAGTTGTCTGTCATCTGTACATCTGGTTGTTCATTCATCAGTCTGGTTGTCTGTCCATCCATTCAGTTGTCTGTCACCTGTACATCTGGTTGTTCATTCATCAGTCTGGTTGTCTGTCCATCTGTCCATCCACTTGTCTGTCACCTGTACATCTGGTTGTTCATTCATCAGTCGGGTTGTCTGTCCATCCATCCAGTTGTCTGTCATCTGTACATCTGGTTGTTCATTCATCAGTCTGGTTGTCTGTCCATCCATTCAGTTGTCTGTCACCTGTACATCTGGTTGTTCATTCATCAGTCTGGTTGTCTGTCCATCTGTCCATCCACTTGTCTGTCACCTTTACATCTGGTTGTTCATTCATCAGTCGGGTTGTCTGTCCATCCATCCAGTTGTCTGTCATCTGTACATCTGGTTGTTTATTCATCAGTCGGGTTGTCTGTCCTTCCATTCAGTTGTCTGTCATCTGTACTCCTGGTTGTTCATTCATCAGTCGGGTTGTCTGTCCATCCATCCAGTTGTCTGTCATCTGTACATCTGGTTGTTCATTCATCATTCTGGTTGTCTGTCCATCCTTCCATTCAGTTGTCTGTCATCTGTACATCTGGTTGTTCATTCATCAGTCTGGTTGTCTGTCCATCCTTCCATCCAGATGTCTGTCATCTGTACATCTGGTTGTTCATTCATCAGTCGGGTTGTCTGTCCATCCATCCAGTTGTCTGTCATCTGTACATCTGGTTGTTCATTCATCAGTCGGGTTGTCTGTCCATCCATCCAGTTGTCTGTCATCTGTACATCTGGTTGTTCGTTCATCAGTCGGGTTGTCTGTCCATCCTTCCATTCAGATGTCTGTCATCTGTACATCTGGTTGTTCATTCATCAGTCGGGTTGTCTGTCCATCCATCCAGTTGTCTGTCATCTGTACATCTGGTTGTTCATTCATCAGTCGGGTTGTCTGTCCATCCATCCAGTTGTCTGTCCATCATTCTGCTTGTGTGATTATGAAATTTTATGGGGCAAGTGGTACAAGGAATCACATATGATACGTCTTTTGCATATTGTAATATTTGATCAAGCTATGAATTTTTGACCTTCACATACCCATGTTTTTCTATGTTACTGATTTTTTCACATCTTCTCTGAGCTACAAGACCTATGGAACTGAAACTTTGGTGTCTTAAAAGTAAACACATAATTTGAATCAGGCTTCAAACCATTATTTCTTCATTATTCAGGTGAGATACAGAGCCTTGTGGTGCTATATTAAGTTACTAAACAAGATTCACTTTGATTTACCATATGAAGTTGTGATAGATTATGAATCCATTGATAGTTCTACATCAGTGATACGTGGTGGTATCACCTGGTTCATTTAATGACAGGCGTAGCACAATACATTGTAGTCTAAACAATGATTAGATGTGATACAGTAGAACATGGGTGTTATCAATCCCACTGGCTAATGCCCTTAGAATATGTCAACATATATCAACATATTGTATATCTTTGAAAATATAATCAATGATGTACAACGGTGACTGTGAGTAGCCTGAAGTAATGATAAATAACATTTAAAAAAATATGAATTAATAAAAATTTAAAATATTCTGGTAGCAACAGTTTGTCATTGGCATCATCCCACTGAGGCATCATATATCGTATCATCTATAGTGTAATGTAAGATAGCTGCGCGATAAATAGCAAAGAACAATGAAGAAAGAAGCATTGTTTATTTCATGATGAGACCGCTCCGTGGTCTAGTGGTAGAGCGTCCGCCCGGAGAGCGGAAGGTCTGGGGTTCGATCCCCGACCGCGTCATACCAAAAGACTTTTATATAGATGATATTTGTTGTACCCTGTCTGTCACTTGGCATTAAGGGGCTAAAACAAGGACTGTTCAGCTTAGAGTCAGTATACTGTGTCTGAGTGGGGTATTCATGTTAAACTGCGGCATGGTATCTCAGTGTGCTAGCAGTATAAATTGGCATCTGTCCGGACTAGTACAAGCAGACAGACACACACACACACACACACACACACACACACACACACACACACACACGTGCATGCACGTCGCTATATAAGTGCAATAATCTTGGACGCGACGTTAAACCCTATTTCACCTCACCTCACCTATTTCATGATGAAACATTGTTCTGTCAAGACGTCATACGCTCACAACTTGATGACGTTGTATATTGTGTGTTGTTCCCCACAGATGTAGCTTAGCAACATAGATAAACACAATGGCCGAACGATCGCTTCCAAAAGTGGAAACCCATGAATACGGGTATGGTGCTGACTAAGGGTGTGAGGTATTACTGGTATATCGGAAAATTGAATTTCATTCTTGCCATGATACGTATCACAATATAATTTTTTCATGCTCGATATATCAGGTGATCAAATTTGGATTTTTATATACTTGCCAAATGCCTTCGCTGCCCATTAGCGAGGATCCTGGACCCCAAGATGGCTGCATATTTATTGAGTAAACATTACCAGAATCTTATTTGGTTCCATTTATGAACTTCAGTTCATACCTTAATGTATCAGATTGCTTCTGAATTGAAAAAATTTGGAATTATACAATATATCGTGGTACGTACCACAATACGGCCTTGTGTATCGCAAAATATTGAAATACACTTTAAACCTCCAATACCCATCTCTAGTGATGACAAACCTTTAAACATAATTGAGGCAAATCAGGATTTGAACCCACAATCAAAGGTTGCCGGCGTGCCCAAGGGATGCAACTCTGTACAGTGAATTGCGGCGCCTTAGACGACCTTTGCCCTCCCGGGTCTGGAGTGTGTATTGGAACTAGGAAAAGCAGATAGATTTGGACACTCTTTAAGTATAACTGATACGATGAAATATACCTTGATAGTTTAAATATACCACACCAATGATTAAGAGACCAGTCATTGGTTAGATAGGGGCAGGTCATAAACAGTATATAACCTTGGGCGAAGGGTCTCGAGAAGAATAGAATATTTAAGTATCAAAATATTGAATCAATATTCTTGAAAAAAGTTCTCAAACAACTGAAGCAATTTTGTGTAACTTGCAAGGCCATGAAAAGCTGTGAACAAACATAAGAAGAGGTACACCCCTATCATGAATCCCCAGTACACACCCATATTACCAGACTACTCATACTACGGGACTGGTCTAAAAAAAAACCAGAAAGGAATGTACCCTGAATTTTTTAAGATTGTGCTTTCATGGGTTTTTAACTGATAGACATGTTTATAAGACTGAGTTTTATCTATACAGATTTCTCTTCTATCATTTAGTTATTTAAGAATTGACTTCAATATGTTTTGCATTTATGGAGGTATAAATGGGGAAAAAGTTTTCCCGGAAAACAGTATGCATACTGTGTAAATACACTTACCTGTGCACACAGATTTTTACATTTATTGCTCCTTAAACTAAAAAATATATTGAAATCAATTTTTATGAATAGATGTGTCAACAATAATAACTTCACAAACTGATTATTTAATCTTTGAATTTAATCTTCCTGAGGCAAGAGAGTTAACTGACTCTAAAAGTCCAGTTTCCACCCTTGCCGAACTAAGCTGGAATTCCTGGGCTCGATCATAGCGCCACCAGTGGCTATTACCAGTTATGTCCCTTCTAATCCTCTCCTATGGACCAATCAGATTCCACCTCTCATATCACTTGCATTTGCTTCAAACAAAATGGCGGCGCCAAGTCAGGACGAATTGCTAAAGATCCTATTGTGATAAAACGGGTCTTACATCGCAAAATGAGAACCTTGATTAAAAACATGAAACGATTTTGAAAATATCTGTTGACAACGAGTTGGCGGTGCACATGCTTTGCAAATCCTGCAATCGACCGAAATCTGCATGACAGTTTACAAACCGGATTTCGATTTTGTTGCGCGATTTTGATTGGACTATGCATAGACTCGTTAGCCCAATAATACAACACAAGCCCTGCCCTTTTTGTTACCAGCCAATCAGGGAACAGTAGATTATTAGTGGGTGTGGCCTAATCTTTATTTTTTTTATTGAAACATAAATGCAAAAAATAATTGCTTGGTAAGCAAATCAAGTGCCATGGAGTCACTTGAAATTTCTTTAGTCCAATTTGTATGAGTAGGCAATGCAAGGGAGTATAGGCATGCACTGTCGAGGCTGCTCATGTTTCTAGATGTGGAACACATGGATTATCAGTACTCGTGGGTATATTGGGTAATGTAAGGGTAGTTAGTTCCTGGTTGATAACATCGTTAAGTGTCATGTGTCAGCTTGGCACAGGTGAGTAGAGGTATCTCAGCACAGGTGTAATTCCGGAGTTGTGGTGATCTGACCAGTCTGCCAGAGGCTTGTCCTATCCCTGTGTCAACCTCATCAGCCAAATGAGCTTTACATCTACCTGTTTGTGTTGATGGTCTCTTGTTTGCGGATACACAGCAGGAGAGGTGGGGTGGAGAGGTGAACGGCAGGATACAGCCGTAAAGTCTGTACATAAATGTAAGTGAGTGAGTGAGTGAATGAATGGCAGGATACAGCCGTAAAGTCTGTACATAAATGTGAGGCATCTCAGTGAGTGAGTGAGTGAGTGAGTGAGTGAGTGAGTGAGTGAGTGAGTGAGTGAGTGAGTGAATGAATGGCAGGATACAGCCGTAGAGTCTGTACATAAATGTGAGGCATCTCAGTAAGTGAGTGAGTGGGGATGGAGAGGTGAATGGCAGGATACAGCCGTAAAGTCTGTACATAAATGTAAGTGAGTGAGTGAATGAATGGCAGGATACAGCCGTAAAGTCTGTACATAAATGTGAGGCATCTCAGTGAGTAAGTGAGAGTGAGTGAATGGCAGGATACAGCCGTAAAGTCTGTACATAAATGTGAAGTGAGTGAGTGAGTGAGTGAGTGAGTGAGTGAGTGAGTGGGGATGGAGAGGTGAGTGGCAGGATACAGCCGTAAAGTCTGTATATCAATGTCAGGCATCATGTATTCCCTATCCAAACTGTCAGGTCAGGTATCTCAGTCAGTGAGTGAGGGAGTGGGTGAGGGAGGGATGGGTGGGGTATTGTTTGATGTGGTGACATCAAGAGAGTCTCTAGGAACTTGGTCCTTATTTTTCCTTGGACTCATTCTGGTTAGAATAGATCCCCCGCAACCCAACATGGTCGATTGGGTGTCATCGTACCCCAGATTATCTTGTCCAGACTTGATTATTCACAAGTCACTGAAACAAACAAACAAACAAACATATGACTGAGGGGGCATGGGTGGCCCACATGCTATTAATTAACTGTGCAGAGTTGCATCCCTTAGGCATACCAGTATCCTATGATTTGAATCCTAGATTAATTTGCCTAGGTTTGTCAGCACTACCCATGGGTCACAATGATGTGGTAAACATCAAAGACCAACATCTTTCCTACCACATTTAGCTGACACTGTGATATAGGTGAAACATTGTTATGAACAGTATTAAACCCAACTCACTCACTCACTCACACACACATTCAAGTGACTGAGCAGTGAGCATGAAGTCTCCAAGGACTTT